CAAGTGTAATGTATGTTTATATATAATTAAATCAGTATGTTTCCTCTACTAGTTCAAAGCAAATCTAATGGAAAATAATATATCAAATGCAGTATTTTTCAGTTCACAAGGATTCATTTACTGTAGCTCAGATTATTCCAACTTGAAAAAATAAATTAATGCACTAGCATCTCAAAATATAGGCATATGCTCTTTACTTACTTGACAGGCTGAACCACTCCAATTTCGTTGTTAACCATCATGACAAGACACCAGAGCCAGTATCAGGTCTAATGCTGCCTTCTAATTCTGCAAGAGAAAGAAATCAGACTGTCGACTGTACTGGAAGATAGTTATGTCCAGCCTTCGTTCTCACGAGCACGGGCAGGAGGTATAAGACGCATTATGTTCCTGGGGTTGGGGGGGGGGGGGGGAAAAACATTTATTTTTACTTATGCGTCACAGGGAGATTGACAGATTTTGAAAATTTAAAGACATTGGTGCCAAGTTAAATGCAACATCCACTGTAGTTTTGTTTTGCACTTGTCTAAGAGTAGTCAATAAGCGATATCCCTATTTTTGAATTTTTCCATTATTTTCTAATGCTGTTACTGTTACTATAAATGACACAGATTCAAATGAAATTATGCACACACCTGCACATATCACGCATCCACATATGCACCCATACTTTTATTAAAAAGCTACAAACGCTTAAATACAAACTTACAGTTTGAGTAGTGATCACATGGCGTGTCTTGGACCTGTAAAAATCTGCGCAACACCTTTGACACTGAGTTATTACGCTCTGTGGCCCCTGATGTAAAATAATCTCTTTGTCTTGTCGCTCCAATAAGTTCAGCAACTTGCTATTAAATAAAATAATATACAAAGTAAAATAAACATTTTTATCTGTACAACATATATAAATATCAGTTTATTTGGATTGAAGATTTTTTTTTTAAAACCGTTATCTTTTTGGTATGACAATATTATGAGAAATAAGGTATTCCAAAGTTACCCTGACTACCTGTTCTAAGCCTTTTCCATGCTTTCTCACTGTCCCAACCATAGGCATGACGGCGAGGAGTGAGGATTCCATATTGATGCTGTAAGAATAAGGTAGCATAGCATCTAGCCAACCCGTGGGTCTAAGGACGATGGTTGCCTGGGCATCTAAGTACAAGCGGACGCAGTTCAGATTCTTGTTCCATGCCTGCCCACATTGCGAACTGGAGAAGAACCTGTGGTGATAAAGATATCCATAAATCTTTTATGTGCTAATTTTATGCAAGATATCTAAATCGAGAATTAAAGATAAAGGAAAAGGGTGGTCAATCCATTACATGCATGCCAAAAGTGGCATATTTTGGGCATATGAAAACCCAGGCGGATCTAAAAAATAACTAAATAAATCTCCAATTTCTTTCAATTGCCATCTGGGCAACTGGAGAGGGCCATATGATGCGTATGGCTAGGTGAAGGGTTGAGAAGGGTAGGTGAGGAAGTGTTTTTTTCCCATTCATTTGTTATATCATTTCATCTAACAGTTATCATTTCTAATGTCTTTTAAAGTTTTCAAGTTCTCAGTGTGTTAAATCAAAGTGAACTATAACAAAGCTCAACTTAAATATCGAAAAATATGAATATCAGGTCACAGTAGGTTCCAGCTATCTAGTTAGGAAGGCATGGGAAAAAAATATGTATTACTAAAAATAGACCAACTTATGACTAGCCACAATTACAGAGGTTGCCCACTCCTGATCTTTCAAAACAATTGACTGTTTTGGTTTATATTTCACCCTTTCAAGACAGAAGCTCCTGGCACCTACCAGACCATGTGCCTGGATATGCGTAGAGGTGGAACTTTGAGAAAAAAAAATTAGAAGCATCATCCTTTATGCCTCTCAGCATAGAGGACTATTTTGGTAGGAGGCTAATATAGAGGATCAAGCTTAGTTTTGAGGGTCTATTCTCCTCAGTAATCCTAGAGTGAGTTAAGAGCCAATGGCATTAACGATGAAGTAGACAGGGCTAGATACAAGATCAAAAATTTGACAGCAACGAATGATGAGGAAAGATAAGGATAGTTTATAAAATGACCTTAGTAAACATATTGAAGAGGCATTCTGAGACAAACAATTCTAAAAGCCTTTTTATCAAGAGGTGAAAGCTTACAAGAAAATTCAAGCCCAGTATAGACATTGTCAAAAAAGGAGCATTACTGGTGAAAAGTGAAGGAAGGGGAAAGGAAGGTGGAAACAGTACTGCCATAATCTGTACATACATTTTAGAACCACCACCACTGAACTTTAACAAAAATAACAGCTGAACCTTCATTGCTGTTCTCCGAAGTTGAAGGCCAATCAAAGAGCTTAAGGATAATAAAGTCCTGGACTGGATTGAAGTGGTAGCTAAGTTAGAAAAATACATTTTTTCCCACAACTATGTTTTCAACTTGATTAGACAAGGAAGGAATGATGTGAAGATTGGGTTAAATCAATTTTTGTACCAGTAACTAAGAAAGGTGATATCCTAATATGCAGTAACAACAGGACTATTACTTTGATCAGCCATTGTAGCAAATTATTGCTGGCAGAATCAAATTAAAATGGTCAAAGAAATTGATGAAGCTCATGCCAGTTTCAGACCCAGAACTGCAACCAGAAACCAAATCTTCAATCTCAAGATGATCATTGAAAAGAACAGGGAATACGGTAACACCATCAACGCTTTATTGACTTTATTAGCTTTTGACATGGTTTCACATGAAAAATATGAGGTTCTCAGAGCATATAATTAGCTTAATTAAAATTATGCACAGTGAGCAAAAGGCAGCAGTTAGAACAACACATAGTTTAACAGAATGGTTTGATTTTCAGCAAGGTGTGCGCCGATGATGCATTCTTTCACCACACTTCTTCAACTCTGAACAGATTATGAGAAATGCTCTTGAGGGGTTTTCAGGAAATGTAAGACCTAACCTAACAAAACAATATCTGACTTAAGATACACTGATAATGTAGTCTTAATAGCTGGCAGTATGGATGAATTACAGGAATTGATGAATAAAATTAGAGGTGCTAGTATTCAGTTTGGGCTCGCTTTAAATGCAAGTGAAACTAAAGTCATGAAAATATGCAGACATCGTAACCAAAATAATTATGAAAGAGAATTCATAATGTGAATGATAATGAGAATATTGAAATTGTTAAGAAGTTTGTTTATCTTGGTGCTTTAATTTTCAATAACCGTGATGATATAAGAGAAATTAGAAGAAGATTGTGCATTGCTAGAAATGCAATGGTCTCATTGACAAATATTTGCAAAGATAAGATGAAGTAAATGAATGAAGTAAAGTTACTACAGTCGCTTGTATTCAGCATTGCTGGTTATGGATCGGACTGTTGGATTTAGAAAAAGGGGGATGAAAGGAAGATCGATGCCTTTGAACTGTGGTGCTATCAACAGTTACTATGAATAAGCTAAACTGCAAAGAAAATAAATGAGTGGGTTCTGGAAAAGATGGATTGAAAAAGAAAGGTTACTCGTAACTCTCAACAGATGAAAGTTGTCCTTTTTTTGGTCATGTCTTCAGAAGCATTGACAGTAACTGTGACTAAAAGTTAGATTCAGTGATAACATTAAGGAAATTGTAGGTGGCAGAAATATTGTAAACCTGTTTCGATTGGCTCAGGATAGAACTAAATGGAAAGCTAAGGCAGTTTGTTTTGCACCCTCCATTTGATGATGATGATCAATCCTAGCTAGCAAACAGCTATATGGTGCACACAACTTAGAGCAGGCTTAACCCGCTGCCGCCGGGGAAAATGAACAAAAAATGGGGAAAATGCTAAACTCATTTTTATATTTTTGTGAAATATCTCTGTCCATAGATGGCTCTGCTAGTCCTGATTTCACCTTTCCTTGAATTGGCGGGAAAAAACGTATTCTTACTAGTGCTATAAATATAGATGGTGTTATTTTTAACAGCAAATTAGGATAACGTTAAATATTTTCATAAATCGATGAAAAGGGTGAACAGGCGAGACAGGCAGTACTGTCTCGCCTGGCTCATTGGATACTTAGTACACGTGTAGCCATCCATGTGTAAAAACAATCAAACAAGTCGACTCACTGTGGGCATGGCATATACGTACATGCCATCCTCGGCGGCAATGGGTTAATTATGTATATATGATAAGATAGGACCTCACAAGCAAGAGAGACAGTCTAGCCATATAATGATAGGCCATCATCCCAGACTAAATGGGATAATTCACCAATGGATGTGACCTTTAGAGTGTTACTGAAAATAAACATCTAAATATGCAAGTCTGGATGTGAAACAATCAGTCACTATATTGTCTAATGCAGGGGGCTGTGAATCCTGTGACTCCCCTCCTGGGGGGTTGCCAACCCCAACACCCTCGCAGGAAAATAAAGAATCCTCCACGTATTCACGCCATGGTAGAGCTTACGACTGACATGTAGGAACGCCTGATGCCAAATCTGTCTCATGCTCTATCCTGCCATGAATACATGAAGGATTCTTTATTTTCCGTGACAGGGGCTGGGGGGCTGCGACCCCATGAGGAGGTCGCAGGGGCACAGCATGCTGCATTAGACAATATAGAGACTGATTCTGTGTATCATTCATATTACACCCTGCAATTTCCCTGGTACCTTTAAAGCCCTGCCCTTCTATCATGAAGAATATCGGGCTTTGGAAGGGTTCTATGGCATAATTCCTACATACAGGTGTATGGGAGGGTGAGAGGAATCCGTTATGCAAAGGTACTGTGAACAATTAACAATTAGGAATATAAATATCATTAAACTCCTACAAACCCCTTTTACACACACAAAAAAAACAATAGGTATATATCGACAATAAATTCAATATCTGTCAACTGATGCACAGCATGGACATGATTATCCACTTTGGGACATAAAATCGTGATTATGCAATATTCTGGAGACGTAATTCCTTACCCAAAAATCTAGCGAAAATGCGGGCATTCCTTCCCTTAAAAGCATTCCTCAGGCCAGAGCAGACAGAGCCGGCCAGCGCGGAGTGGGCCAACATCTCGGACGTCTCTCGAGGGCGGCAACAGGAGGCGAGCGAGGGCGAGGGCGACCTGCAGGAGGCGAGCGAGCGAGTGTTCAGCGGCGGCTGCTTCCTCGGCGGCGCTGGCGGACCGGGGGGAGGGAGCGGCGCCCGACCCGCGTTCGTGTAGTCTCACACGCTTCACTCACACATGCCGTTTGAAATATTTGCCGCACTGTCTTTAGAAATTGCTTGGAAGAATGGTTGACGTAGGCTGTCTAAATCCCCGTCTTGTTGCCCAAATGATATTGCAGCAAATTTCATGCTGAGGTGCAGTTTGGTCTGACAGGTAATCGCATATTAGTGAGGGAACTGCCATAACAATATTCCAGGACCCAATTAAAGAAGAAAAAAAGAGCTGTAACTGATATATATGCTCACTAAGAAACTGACTGTCAGGGGTCAGTCGTGGAAGAAACAATAAGAAAGTGCCCTAAATGGTTTTTAAATAGGGACTCATCCAAGTCCCTTAGCAGTGTTCTCTGAATTATGATGAAAATATTCAGAATTATGATTCATGTCATTATCTAGTATAACTTATGCTAATACCCTTATAGCTACCCTGCTAATGTCAATGGTAATATTTTTAGTTTCACACAGCCATTGAATATTGCAGTTATTCCTCTCTCTTCTCAATGCAATAATCTGCCAGAATCTGAGATTGTCTAATACTCCAGCCATTCCTTGATGTATGAACCATAAATCTTCCTAACGCCATCTGATCACTAAGGGGGGAGCCCTCTGCCCCTAGACCCCTCCCGATCACCATGGACTTGCTCTCCGCTTGGCATTTGTTCACCCCTTTTTTCTTCTTTATTTATTTGTGCAGATTATTGGATGTAATAGTGAGTGTAGTTTTTCACTTTGATTATTTTCACTTTGATTATTATAGTGCTATCATGTCCTGTAAATTTGTACCAAAGTATTATGTGTCACACAACTTCTTATTATCAGTGTGCAAAGGTGGGGCCATGGATGATACGTCTTATTTTTGGTCATGCTGTTCATCACAGGTAAATTTTACCTTGTGCTACATGGCTCTGGGAAACTGAAACTATACCATATCTATTATAGATTATGGATTATGATATATCTAATCTGAAGCTAGGATGAATGGCCAGCACACCACGTAAGCTAACAATGGGTGGCACAGAACAAAGCAATACTTCTTTATAAAATATTCCATACAGATACAGCTTTTCTTTTGCTAAGAATATTTCTTCTTCTTCTTCTTTCTTCTTTTATAGGGTTTTAGACTATTGTCTAGTCTATATCCCCTGGATCTTTTTTTTTCTTCTTTCTTCTTTTTTTTTTTCTTTTATATTATCTCTATTAGTTTCATTTTCTTTAGGAATATTTTTGTGTGTCTTCAAATGTAGTACTTCTTTATTGGTGGGAGATCAGCACCTGTGAGTAATAAGTCTATATTAGGATTGTTTATTTTGATTCTTTTTAAAGCTTCCATCAGGTCTGTTCTGTAAGAGTGAAATCTTGGACATTGTAGTATTAGATGTTATATGTTTTCTTCTTGATGATGGCACCATCTACATGTTGGGTCATTTATTATTTTTACTTTATGTAGATGTTGGTTTAATCTTGTGTGTGTCGTTTTGAGTCTGGTTATACACACATCGAGTTTTCTGTTTTTTGATCTTGACCATGGTTGTAATTCTGTATTTTTTAGAAAGTAATTTTTTGTATTTAGGATTGTGTTTAATTGTGTTTTCCATTTTTTAAGATATTCTATTCTTATTTGTTTTATCTTTTTTCTTCTGTCCTCGTGTATGGTTATGGGGTTTAATATGTTATGAGCATGTTTTGCCGCTTGATCAGCAATTTGTTACCTCTTATGTTTTTATGTGAAGGTATCCATTGTATAATTAATGTTTGATTTTGACATATTAGTGTATATATCAGTGTCTGTATTTCAAATATAGTGTGTTTAAAGTTTTTTGGTTTTGGGTTTGATATTAGCTGTAAAGCTGATTTTGAGTCAGAAAATATTACTGTTGTTCTTAATCTATTATTCTGGATATACGTGATTCCTTGTTTTATGGCAAAAAGTTCAGCCTCTATTATTTCTGTTTTGTCTGGTAATTTCCATATTGTTTGTAATCTTTTTCTCTTCGATATATATGGCCGCTGACGTTGAATTAGTGCTTAATTTTGAACCATCAGTGAATATTTTTTTATAATTTAAATATTTTGTGTTTCCCAACTTTATAAATTGAGTCTTTATTATTTGTTCGGGGATGTTTTTTGTTGGCTCATCTAAGAAGTTGGTTTCAATGTTTTTTGTAATATCAAACCAAGGTGGAATGGGAGTTATGTTTGATATTGTTTTTGTTTTTATTGTTATATTTAATTCTTTGCAAGTTTCTATTACTCTTTGTACTATACCTCTCTTACCTTTTTCAGGATTATATATTTCAATATTTGCTGTTACATCTTCCTTAATTTGATTATTTTCTTGTTTTTCTAATATTTTCATCATTTGCATACATTCTAATTCTTTTTGTTTATATTTGATGGGCATTTTGTTTGTGAGTGAGTATAAAGCTATGATTGGGGTGGTTTTTAAGCAGCCTGTAGCAATTCTAAGTGCGTTATTTTGTATAATTTCTATTTTTTTCATTTCTGTATTTTTGGCTGTTCCGAAGATAGTGATACCATATTCTATTTTGGGTTTTATATAAATTATATAATATTATATATTATTATATTAAACAATAATGGACTTAGGGGAGAGCCTTGTGGTAGGCCTCGTTCTATGTTTTCTTCCGTAGATTTTTTGTTACCTATAACTAGTTGGTATGTTCTGTTTTTTAAAAATTCTATGATCCACTTGAGTGGGGCACCTGCTAAGAATATTTAACAGGTAGCTGACCATTGACTTCACAGTATTTTACTTGCATTGTAAGTGAGGACCTCTTCTTTCTTCTTTTATAGGGATTTAGATTAGGCTATATAGCAGTCTATACTCCCTGCATTTTTCTTTGTAGGAAGGTGTTTGTGTGTCAAGAATGTAATATTTCTTTATGGGTGGTTGATCTGCACCAGTGGTTAAGGAATTCATGTCAGGATTTTTGTATTTTTATCTTTAGTGATGTTATTGAATTAGTTCTGTATGAATTAAATCTTGGCCTTTATAAAATTATATGTTCTGGTGTTTCTTCTTGACAGTTACACGATCGACACATTGGATCTGTTTCTATTTTTAATTGGTACAAGAATAATGACAAAACACACAAGACTTAGAAGTCTTGTGTGTTTTGTCATTATTCTTGTGATGGTTACCTCTATTTTCCTGTGTGGTTATCTTGCCCATGGTTGTGGATTGTATATTTCATTTAGTAATCCTTTGTGTTTAATATTTCATTCAAATTGGTAATCCAATTTTCTTATTATATTTGTTGCATTGTGGGTCATGGTTATGGGATATTTTATTTCATGAGCTTGTTTTGCAACTCTCTCTGCTCTTTCATTTCCTTTTATGTTCTCATGCAAAGGGATGCACTATGGTTTTATATGTTTTTTAGTGTTTAATAAGTGTAGTTGGGATTGTATTAATATATTATGTTTTTGTACTTTACTGGTTTGTAGTTTTTTATTGCTTGTGTAGATGTTTATGAGTCTGTTAAGATTATTGTTTTCTGTAGTTTGTTGTTGTTTAATTGCAAATAATTCTGCTTCTATTATCTTTGTGTTGTTTTGCAATTTCCAAATTGTTGTAATGTTTTTGTTTTGAATGTGTATTGTTGTTGTTGATTTTGGTTCTTTTAGTTTTGATCCATCTGTGTATTTTTTTGCGGTAATTTTGGTATGCTGTGTTTTCTAGTAGGTGGAAGTGTTGCTGTATCATTTGGTGTGGTGTGTTCTTGTTCATATTATCCATCAAGTTTGATTCTATGTTTTATAGGATGTCAGATCATGGCGGAATTGGGGATATGTTAGGTATTGTGTCAATTCTTAATTTTTTTCCTCTTTTTGCAAGTGTCAGTTACACTAGATACTAGTGTCATTTTATTTTTTTTTTTTTAATTAAATTTTTCTGTTTTTTGAGGTCAAATATTTAATTGGCATATTATCATGTTTTTTTATGAACTGGATGCATTCTAATTCTTAATTCTTTTATTCTGTTTGCTGTTGGTATTTGATTTGTCAATACTTGTAGGGTTGTTATTGGTGTTGTTCTGAGGGATCCTGTTGCAATTCATAATGCATTATTTTGGATGGTTTCTAGTTTTTTTTTTTTTTTTCAATTCCATTTGATTTGTTGCACCATATACTGTGATTCCATTTTCAGTTATTGGTTTTATATATATGTCAAAGAACTTCATTAAGGTTTCTCTATTTGCTCCCCAAATTAATGACATCAGTTTTTTCATAATATTTATTCATTGATTTTATTTTTACATATGTCATGTGATTTTTCCAAGTCAATTTTGGTGCATCAAAGTTGACTCCTAAAATTATATGATTATTTGTGAATTCTGTTTCATTGTTTCCTATTTTAATTATTGGGTATTGTTCTTTTTGTTTTGTTTTGTTTTGCTTATGAAACATACTTTACTTTTTACTGGGTTTATTTGAGGTTCCATTTATTTGAACATTCCTTTATAATGCTTAGGCTATGTTGTAGAGTATTTTTTGCTTCAGCTAAATTTATTTTTGAAGTTATTAGGGTTAAGTCATCTGCATAAATCATTTAATATATTTCTTTTGGTATTTTTATGTCTGACTTGACTATATTGAAAAGCATAGGGTTTATTGGAGATCCTTGTGAGACTTTACTTTACTTATTATTTTTCCCATTGTTGAATTCTGTTCTCCTATTTGTACTTGAATGGGTCTTTCAGTTAAAAAGAAATATTCATCCCTTTTAATATCTTCCTCATAATCCAATATTTTTAGCCTTTGTTAAAATTGCTTCATGGTTGATGGAGTCAAAGGCTTTTTCTATGTTTAGACATACTACTTGTGTATATTTTTTCTTTTATTGCAGTTTTGTTTTGTTTGTTTACTTGTTACATTTTCAAATTCTTCTTTAAATAATTCTAGATTTTGAGATCTGAATTACTGGAAAGTTGTTGTTTATAAGAGGGTAATCACTTGTTGTTTTACCTGCCTGTTTTTTATTAAATTCCATATTTTTAAGATAATTTAATATATTTTCTGTGTATGGGCTTCTCTATTACTATAAGCTTCATTTCTTTTCTTTATTATTTCATTACATTTCTCATTCCACCAGGGTTTATTAGGTTTGTGATTTATCTTTTTACTTTCAAAGCTGACATGTTCTTCTCCAATGTCTTTTATTAACTTCATTAGTTCTGTTAGTGAATTTATATTTATATTTACTCGGCTAAGTTCTGATGGCAGACCATCCTTCCTTTGTGGATTTCCATTTTTCTTTCTGATATTTTTTATGAGATTTGATAGTTTTTGTCTTTTATTATAATTGGAAGGTGGTCTCTATATAGCTGTGGGCCTGTTCTTATTGTTAAGTGGCTTCTTGCAGGTGAACTTATGACCAGGTCAAGGGTGGCTTCTCAGTTTGTCTTTGGATCTATTCATGTTATTTGTCCTTTTGGTGTTAATAATATGATATTATTTGGAATTATCAATTTTAAGTTATTTCTCGTTACATTACTTTGTTTGTTACTGGGTTCCAGTTAGGATGGTGTGCATTGAAGTCTCCTACCATCAGGTTTGGTTCTTGTATCTGATCTATGTAATACTGAAATTCTTTAGATATATTATTGCAAGGATTGTATGTCAATATGATATTCATCCATTTTTCTCTATGTTGTATTTTTACTGCTAGGATCTCAATCTTATACTTGTATCTGTCATTCAGACCTAATTTTTTAAACTGTATATCCTTATACGTATCATTAGACCTCCACCAATTTGGTTTTCTTGGTCTTTCCTAATTATCTTATAATTATTCATTCTAAAGTTACCTTTATTCTTTTAAGTTTTCACACAAGGCAATTAATCCTGGGTTTTCTTTGAATATTAGATCATTGAAATCTGTTTTTCGGTTTTGGATTGAGTAAGCGTTCCATGTTATGTTATGAATTTATCAAATTCATTACTTGTTTTTAAGATTTATGGCTTCCATAATTATTTTTAAAGTTGATTTTCTTGAGTTTATATTGTTCATCAAATTTGATACTGACTTTATTTATTTATTTATTTTTTTTGATAATCACCCAGTTTAAGTTTTCTTCTTTTCTTTCATTTATCTTTTGTTTTTGAGTGTGGGAAATAACTATAGGTGATGGGTAGGAGTAATGGGTGAGGGTTGTGGGTATGGGTGATGAGAGTGGGTAATGGGTGTGGGTAATGTCCATGTTATTGGTGACTGTTCTGGATTTGTATGTTTTTCTTTGTTTTTATTGTTTTGTGGTTTTGTTATTCCTTTTTTGTTTGATTGTGTATTTCCGTTTGGTGTCTTGTGGGTATTTTCTGTCCTGGTGGGATGTGACATAGCTTGTGCATAGCTTTGTGGTGTATTTTGGTATTGGCTTGTATTTCCAAGGTCTATGTTAATCTGTGGAGTGTGGGTTTCTTTAGTTATTCTAGTGTTTTCTTTTGATTTTGTGTTTGTATCTTTATTTGTATTATTTTTAGCTTGTTCTGTAAAATGTTTCAGTTGTTGCAGTTGCTTCTTGATATCTGGATTGTTTGGTGTATTTACTTATTTCTTGTGCTTTATTGTGTAAACTACATGAGTAACTGTTATGTGATTTTCACAAAAGAAGCAATATGGGTTATTATTACAATCTTTGAAATCATGGTTAAAACTACTGCATTAACTTCAAGAATCCCATGTCCATATTAGAGGCAATTGTAGCATTTGGGTATTGGGAAGGTATACTGTTTGACTTGGTATGAGGTATGGCCATTAGCCATCCTTTCTGGTAATGGTTCTTTGAATGTAATTCTTAGAGACCGTGTGGAGTCCATTTCTCTGTTTTGTTTTTTTTCTTGATTACTTTTGTTTATTCTTAATATTTTTTGAATGGAAGAATTCTGACCTAAAGTTATATTTTCTCTCATTGTTCTTATATCTAGGTCTGTTTCAGCTGGGTATATATTTGCGTATGTACAGTCAGTGTTTATACTTGATGCTGGTTGTTTACGATTAATTTCCCATTGTCCAAGCTTTCTAATTTCTTTTCCCTAATATCATCAATTTCAAATCTGATTGCCTTCCCAATTCCTGATTTTCTGATATATTTGTGAAATTCTGAATTGTTTATTGCATTTGTTAACTGAATTAGGTTTTTAAAATTTGAATTTAATGAATCTCCTGAGAGTTGTATAAGTATTGCATTCAGGCTTCATCTTACTTGAATGTTGGGTTCAGTCTTGTCATTCATTGCTGGTTGGAATTGCGTGAAGTTCTTTCCGGCTTCTTCATTCTAGTGTTGCTTGGAAGGTGGGTTTGTTTTGCTATTGCTTTCACAGTTTTTATGTCTTCTTTTATTTAGGGTTTCATAGTCCATTTATTTAAATGTACCAGGACTCTCTCCTGGTTCAGAGGTGAGTTATCGTCCATCTACTCACTGTACACTTCATTTCAGTTTTTGATTACCGGGATAGATGTTTGCTCTGACAGTTTAAATGAAAATCCTAACCAATACCCCCATTTTTTCTAACCAGGCTTTTGTTGGACCTTGCCCATTTTTCCTGTCATCTATCATACACTATAAATGAACAGAAAAAACCCTAGCATTGAGTATATTACCACCTGAAAAAGATCCAGTTAAGCCAGAACTGACACTGATATTATGAAGGTATAGCCCTACTCACTTTGATATTTCTTTCAACAGATGATCATGTATGACAACAAATCAGTGCGAGCAGCCCATGAGGCTTTTGTGACAGGACACACTGGTTCAACAGCTATTGATGTCATATTGGCAATATATCCTGTAATACCAGCATCTCTTCTTGCTGCGTGTGTTGTGAAGGGGCGTATGGGATGGTAAGTAGTGGAAAAGGAGTTAGTCTCATAATAACATGGTATCTTCCTTCATTGAAATCATCATACTCTTATCATCAACATCATCACCATCATTGTCAATAACAAATTATTATTATAATTATCATCATTGTTATTATTATTATTATTATTATTATTATTATTATTATTATTTCTATTATAATGATAATTATAATGATAGTGGTCATAATAATAATAATAGTTATTATTATTATTATTATTACAATTATAGATAGTGTCATCATCACTATCATTATATTATTATTATTATTATCATCATCATCATCATCATCATCATCATCATCATCATCATTGTTATTATTATTATTATCATCATCATCATAATTACCATTATCATTATTATTGTTATTACTACTGTTATTATTATTATTTGACTTATTATTGTTATTGATTTTATGTTTATTATTATTATTACTACTACTATTATTATTATTATTATCAGTAGTAGTAGTAGCAGTAGCACTATAATTGTTGTTGTTACTATAAACTATTACCATAATATTTTATTATTTTTCTCACTCTCGATCTCTCTCATTTTTATTTTTTTCTCATTTCATCTTTATTTCTATTTTATTTTTATTTTCATTTTCATTTTCATTTTAATCTTTGTTTTATATATTTTCATTTTCATTTTCATTTTAATCTTTGTTTTATATTTATATTTATTTTTATTTTTAGTTTAGTTTTAGTTTCATTTTCATCATCATCATCATCACTACTACTACTACTACTACTACTACTACTACTACTACTATTACTGTTACTGTCACTGTTACTCTCACTATTATTATCTTCATCATTAAGCTGTTTATTGTTTACCCCAATGCCGCCGGGGAAAATTAATAGAAAATGGGGGGAAATGCTGTGCTCATTTTCTATATTTTTTGTGAAATGTCCAGTGCTATGAATATCGATGGTGTTAATTTTATTGTAAACACTATAATTACTATAATGTTATAAACATTAGTAACAGCAAAATAAGATAACGTAAAATGCTTTTGTAAATCAAAGAAATGTTCAGGCATTCAACAGTGTAATTTATTTCATCATGTAGCTTTCTTCCATATCTCTCTGCCTAATTTGATACTAATTTATATTAAAATGTATTGGTTTGTAAGATTAATGGGTAATACCATTATATCACCATGGATATTTTATATAGAGTCTCAGCTTCTCTGACTTGTGTTCATATTTTTTTTTTTGTCTTTTCCCATTACAGGCTTTGGTTTTTTTATAGATAGTTTTTTACTGGTTGTTCCACCTACACTTGGATTTTACAGTACTGGCAAACTATACCCTGGAAGTGAGTGCAGTGCAGATATTGCTCGCTGGTTTAGTCCTAATTTGTACATCTCATCCACTACAGGATTCCTTCCTGAATAATTCAAAGGTGTGTATATTTTCTCAGATATATGTGAAAGAATCCATTTAATACTTGAGTTTGATTGTTTGTTTAGATTTGTTAAGCAAGCAGCTATCTATTTCTCAGATGTATGAAAATATTAGTTTGTAGACTATGTTGCAGTTTGTCATAAGTCAGATTATTTCAAAGCACTGATATATATTCACACCAATATGCAAGCAAAGTAATGTGATCAGCAAGATCTTTATATCTTTCTGATTGCATCCCTTATTAAATTTATGTTGCCTTTCTTGCAGCACTTGGCATGTTTGACTGCAATGAGAGCTATATTGAATGTAAATACAGCTGTTGCTATCTTGGGTGTGGATTTTCACAGTTTTCCAAGGAGGTAAAGAAATTGTATTCCTTATCAGTTAATTTTTAAGGCATAGTGTATTTCTATTGATAGTTTGTTGAAGATACGTACAGATAATACACTCCAAGTATTATCTTTCTAATGAAACACAGCTAATGTTTTCAAAGCATTCATTTTTTTAACTTGTTTTCAGATTTGCCAAGACAGAGGAATATGGATATAGCGTAATGGATGTGGGAGCTGGAGGGTTTGTTGTTGTGAACGGTTTCGTTGAAGGTCGGAAGAGAAGGTGCTACAAGTAAGTTCCTCGTACTTTCAAAAACTTTCTGGTAAAAGAAAGCAAGAATATAAAAATTTCTTTCTCACCTTTTATGTGGAGACGCCATAATGATTCTCTTCATCAGTTTTTCTTACCCTCCCTCCCCTTCCACTTTGAAATTCATATCTTTTATCATTTACACTGTTAACAGGAAAAAAATAAACTTGATTTTGCATTACAGAATCACTTTATCTAAACTGTCATTCAAACAGTAGTTTTCATTTTGTTCAGGTCTGTGATGGTTGATGCTGTTGTCCTTGCCATCTTGGGTCTTTGAGAGTCATATTTGTTCATATGTCAGATTACCAGCATCATGTAACAGAGTATGGGGTACATGGCAATTTTTTCTTCACACTGGCATTTATTAAGGTATGAAAATCCAATGATTTTTTTATTTTTTGTGTGACTATCTTACATGGATAAACCTTTGGTGGTGTATATATTAAAATTACATATTATGAACTGTCCTAAAATATAAAATGTATATCGCTATATCTGTTCATGAAAAATTGCTTCACTAGTTGTCAGTATAGTCTATGTAAGTGTATGTTCTGATAAATATAAGACAATTTCAGATGTTTGTCCACAGTGTATATTACAGTATACTGAAATTTGAAAATAAGTAGCCATATATATTTCCTTTTTCATTCTAGGCTACTTGTCATGGTGGGAATATCACCTCTGACCTGGTCTTCAAGGTACTATACTAGCAATTTTGCTGTGTCGTGTGCCATCACATTTTATGTAAACTGCTGGCAATCTTGTTCATGGACACTGAGTAATGGTCCAAGAGGGATTAATCTTCTACACTGCAACAGAGAAATGGAATTGTATCAATTCCAGGTTATATGGTGTTTATTCTTTGGCACTGCCAAGGGGAAAACTACCGGTTCAGGAGAAGGTAAACTGTTCTGTTTTACATTGTTAGTGAATTTTGGTTTATGAATCATTGTTTCATTGATTATCAGTAACAAAATAATAACTATTACTTTGGATAAGGATTGAATGTATGTGTGTTTCAAATATTCAATATGTAAATAGAATAAAGATAGACCATCAGATTTAGGATTAGACTGTCACATTAATTGTATTATGGTGAAGGAAAAAAAAATAATCATAAAAAAATAGCAGTCAATTATCATGAGGCTGTAGATCAAAATATTTATTTACATAAAAAAAACATGCTTTAGGTATGTGGAAAATCATTTTCTTCCTTTCTTTACAGAAATGAGGAAAGAAGCTCAAAACATCATTCCTTGGAGTACTGCTATTTTCAGCATCTCCTTTGTTGTCTTAGGCCATTATGTGGACTTGCCGTCTAGTAGACTTGGACAACCCCACCTTTGTTACTTTTGTTTGTAAGTATGAACTTCTGGAGAAAGTTGTATTATTCTGAAGCTTTTTAATGTTACTTTTAAGGTACATCTTACATCATTTCAATTGATAGATATCATGTATTAAAGTTCCTTGACTCACAATAATATTGAGATCCAGAAGTATTAGCAGCTTCCTTTAAGAATACACATAATTTTTTTATTGAGAATCACCCCTTTGGATCCAGATGCTTGTGCTGCATGCACATGGCCCAAATCATAAGCATTAGACTCAATTACTTGCGTGGCTCTACCAGATGATGGCTTGTAGGACCAGCCCACACAAAGACATTATTACTGTGTCAAGATCCCTTGCATCCTTGGCAGTGTTATCATCTCTTTTTCTGCATAAGCATTTTTTGCTTTCATTCCATTATCCAAGTCTATATTTGTCATTGGATTTGCTCTATCAAGAGAAATGCGACTGTTTTCCTTACACAGACTCAAAAAATTCATATTTCTGATAATCTGCAATTCAGTGCAATAATAAGAACAATAGACCATTCTGTTAGTATATTAAGTAATTTCATTATTCTTTATTTTATTTATTTATCTTGTATGTGTGTGTGTGGGTGTATGTGTGTGTGTGTGTGTTGTGTTTGTTTGTGTTGTGTGTGTGTGTGTGTGTGTGTGTGTGTTTTGGGTGAAATACACCCAATGCTCGCCAGTTACAACAGGCAGAATAGGTTCCTGAGCATGGAAAAAAGTTTCCCCCAGGAGCTGACACTCTTCCAGTCATGGATGATACATTCCACTCTCATTTACCAGAGGAAATAATCCAAGAGCCCCATCCTAGATAGATGCTCACTGAGTCTAGTCATCCTTCAAGAGCTTTGTCCTCTAATGGAAATTCATTCTTGTCACCCCAACTTCTGTCCAATTTTTCATGACAGCTATTCCCATAACCCAGGCCATCAATCAAAAAATTTTCCAGATGGACTATTCCTGTCCACATCGCCAAGTATTTTTGTGACTTGATGTGCACACCAACCCGATCCTTGGTGTGATATATGGATATATAGACATCAATGGCTTCCACGCCTTTGATACCCAGAGTCTTTTAGTATCTAGCTTATGAAAACCTTTTCGGCATGTAACATTCATTTTGCTTATATCTTAGTTGCAATCACTCAGATTAGCCATGTCCTTAAAGGACCTAGAAAATGAGCAGCATATAGTGCCTCTGTGATAAAGATTATGCTACACACCACTGTATCTTTCTACACTCTTTATATAATGTGATCATTGTACTCTTAATAAGTGTTTGTAGGAAACTATTAGATTGATTTGCAGTTTGTCTAGAAATTAGCCTTTTTCTCTTGTAGAAGTAATGTTGCACCATAGTAAAAGCAAATTATTGTCTCTTTCCAGATGACGTATACTTCAATAGGTTTTGCAAGTTTTTCATTGATAGAGGAAACCTGTCACCTGTATTGTGTGTTCACATACTTTGGTTCCATCAACCGTCGGCCAATCATTTTCTTCCTGCTAACTAATGTAACCACAGGTCTCATCAAAACAAAAGTATCAATACTTTAACAGTGGAATATCCCATATAGATGTTTGTATTATTTCTTGTAATATTGTGCGGTTCTTAGGTTGTATATGTTTTGTAATGTTGGAGGATATTAGGAACCAAAATAAAGAAAAACATTGGAAAAAAGTAGCATAATATAATTTTTTACTCAGTGATTCACCTCAAACAATTTCTGGTTTCATTCTGATAATGTAAATTGTCATCTAACTTTAAAATATTTCATGTGACATTTGTTTAATATGTATATTTTCTTCATTTTCTATTTTGAAAATGTGTTTTTTTTTTTTTTTTTTTTTTTTTGGCCTATTTATATTATAATGATTACTCAAAGGATGAGGTAATGTAAATGCAGTGACACTGATTTGTGTGTCTGAATTGGGGGAATGGTGACTACTTTAGCTCGATGCATAAGATCTTTTTATCAGAAATGCTTCTTAAGCATTTA